ATATGTTTTGAAATTTGGGATAAACATTTTTCAATTGATTCACGGAAAATGCTTTTAAACCCAAATCTATTAGAATGGCTGTTATTACCATATGTTTTTTATACAAATAGACTGGAAACTTCGGAATGATAATTGACATTATAGTCATAGAAGTCAGACAAGGTAATCAACCACTCACTGCTTATTAAAACATTTGTGGGCGCTCAATCATTATTTTCAGTTTTGAATTTTGCATTTTCATCTGACTGCGAAGAGAGGAAAAAAAAGGCACTTGCATCTTAAACTAGTCATTTTAGATAAAATATCTTTGTCTGATCTTAATTCCGTCTCAGGAAGTTAAACCCATGACCTGCGGTTTCTGTGAAAGATATTTTTGTCAGAGCAACCAAGGTTCTATAATTGGAAACTATCAATGCATTTGTTGTCCTGTCATTACCGGTCTGTTTTGAAAAACGTTCATCAATTTTAGGCTTGATTGGCAAACACAATTCAACCTCTGTTGAGCCAGAATATCGTTGGCAAAATTTTAATTTCTTTACATCCTGTTTGTTTGAATAACACAGTCTTTGAGTAGATGACGGTGATTGTTCGCGAAGTTCATCAGATGATCCGGAGCTCGATTTGTTTTCACAGCCACATATTAATCAGCGTTCAAACGAAGAACATTGTGCTTTATGCTTTTCAAAATTAGGTCTCGCCAAACACATTAGGATTACGGGGAGTTTTTGTTTGCTTTTTGGATATCAAACCCTTGGCGATTTTGAACAGGTTTTGAACTATCCACGAGACCACTCGTGATTCACCGCCATTACAGGTTAGTGTCATAGGAATGTTTTCAACTCGAAGCGGGAGATGAAATGTTTTACTCATTGCAGTTTTTGAGGTACATATGCTCCAGTTAACAATCTGATTAAGTTTTCCCATCGCTAATGTTTATGCTACGCGAGTACCTTAAATGCAAAGAAGTAAAAACCATGGTTAGTAAAGTGATTTAAAAATATCGCTTTGTTCATAACCCCGGTTGTCTGTGAGACTCCCGTGACCAAAATTAATTTGGTACACCTCATAGGTTATAGGTTATAAAGTTCCTCAATTCATGTATAGAAAATAAAAAGAAACATTGTTGGGTTATGTCCGGGAGTAAGTCGAAAAGATGAAGAAATTTGTATTATGATCGGTGTCTGCAAGATATGCAAATGAATTGTGATTGTTGATTTCAATAACCCGAGATTTACCGAATTCATTTTCTCGGATTAAGTCTGTCCGCTTGAGGATGCTTCACAACAGTGTACTTTAAAAGATTACATGTCAGATTTTGGCGTGCTGTTTAGTCTAAAATGTTTTGCAACTGGGCCATTTATTAGGTTTACAGGTTGCAGTGTTCGTTTACAAACCCATTCCAGTCTTATCTTTTTTGGGCGGGTAATTAGAGAATGTGCAATTTATGGCCAATACCTTTAATGAATTTGAACAACGATTGTTATAAAAAGGTGAAAGCGAGTTAATGAATAATATTGAAAGGTTACTTAAAGGTTCATATAAGTGCGCTGAGTTTTGTTTTCCGTCTCTGCTGGATGATATATCATCCAAAAGACACCGGGTCTGTTTAGTACAACCATAAGCTAGTCACTAAAAGGCATTTAAAGTAGTTGAGTGGAACAATTTATTCACAAGCTTAAATTTAACAGAAAAAGTTTTTAACACAGAATTGCTGAACGTCTTTCAGCTGTGGGTTTTGAAAGAAGTTTTTGTGCAAATTGCAGAATGCATTAATTTATGTTCCACTACAAATTCTCATCACGGACATTTGCAAATGGCATAATTAAAGTCATCGGCTCGTCTGTTCGAAGCACAATTATAGTTATCTACGGTAATTAAGAACTTTTTAGGATATAGAGCAACCGCTTATAGAGTAACCGAGCTTTGAGGAACATCTGCCTTCAACCAAAAAAGTGGTGGGGAACACCGGTATAGGTAAGGCTATGATGACGAAAGAATTAAGAAGCGGAGACACGAATTTGAAGAACCGCAACCACTACAGCAAACTTGAATTATCTAACAAGAAAACAGTTTATTTCAAATTTGTTGGCAAAAGCTGTGTTAACTGAATATCTAACCGAGAAGAAAAAAGGCTTTCAACCGGAGATTTATTCCATTTTTTATGCGGCAAAGCGACATTTAAACTTGTTGAAAAACTAATATTTTTGAAAAAATTAAATTTTAACCATCGGCGAACTTTCATGGTAATGAAAATAAATAAATAGATAAATAGGAAGTAAAATTAATAAAAGGCGAGATAGTTCGAAATGGAAATTTACATGAGAGGATTTTTATGATGCGGGAAATTTGTTTGCCACAATGGTCTTTTAATACATTTCCATTTTAAATTTGTGTTCACCTCACCAAATTGGTATAGTTGCCCTTCTTATTATAGCTACGAAGTTGATTACAACTAAATCCTACTCAGGTTTCATTTAGAAATTAGGGAACAAGATACCTGTATTGATCTGTAGTTGTTGCTGGTTTAGGGTTTGTTTTTTGTTAGAGTTTATATAAAGATAGTCTCTTTCGAAGTCGTCGTCTTGGCCCGTCACGCAACGCAACCGCATTGAGGCGAAAATTTTGCGTGACAAGCCAAAGACACCGCTGAGAAACAGATAGATTCAAATGAACGATCATTTTTGTATTTTTTACACTCGATGTTTACAGTTTGATCTCAGAACTCCTGACACCATGTACGAACCTCACCTGCTTAATCCATCCCAGGAACGTCCGCGCAGCACTCGGTCCCATTCTCTCAAGCCAATAAGTCAACCTATACCTAACATTCTGACTCAAAGAAAGCGACTCTACAGCTTGCCATCCAAACCTGTCATCCCGCCTCATATCACCATACAAGCTTGCCAAGACAGCAGCCAGGAGAGCCTCAGTGACGAAGAAGAACAAAGAAGCAGATGGAGTCATGAAAGTATGGGTAAGAGGGTGGTATAACTTTTCAATTAAAAATCATCATTTTTGGTTACTCTTCCTGCGAGGCAGATGGTCCCGTCTAATTAGAGGGACCTCAGTGCATGCATCACTCTCGTTCTCAGAGGTGCAGTTCATAGTGCCAGCGGTACTGATACAAAGACTGCGTAGTCAGAAAACAGCCCGTAGGTCCACGCTGTTGGCCAAAAGATCATGGCCCTGGGAACGATACTGGGCGTGCACAACCGCTCTATGTGGAAGAGAAAACAAAATAAAGAACAACAAATGACACTCACAAACTTTGTGCGAGATGCGGGAACAAGTTACAAGTTAAAGACGATATTCAACGATTTGACAAGATTGAGAAAAATTATACAGCATAGTTAAACGATAAAGCCGAAGAAGTTAAATTTACAATGAAGAACTTATACAAATGATACAAAGGGAAAGTACGCAAAACCTGAAAAACTAAAAAAATATCGACGAAAGTAATACACGTGAAAGCAAAAGAATATAATGAAAATGCAACAGAAAGAAAAAATGAATAATGTCAATATGATTTATTGCGGCAACATTTCTTTCGAACGTTTTTAAGTGTTTGCCAACGTCTGAAGCGAACACGTTTTCCCAGATATGTTTGGTAGATTTGGTTTTAAATTTGAGCAAAGGTCACAAGCGCTAGCTCAACTCCCTCTTTTCTTTAGTGAACAACATATTGTTTGAAATTTGCTATCTTATTTTTTATTTTGCTAATTTTATTTCATTTTTTCTGTCAGCGTGGTACACTCCTGTTGTTGGACTATCCTGTAGCCTTCTGATGTACCTATGGTCATGCGCACTGGCCTACTATTCGTCAACATGACTCAATGGAAACTATCTGGTACGCCTCTTTGTTAATAAGCCAGCAAAAAACCAAAAATGAAAACAAAACAAAAAAAGAAGAAATGTTACGTTCATCTTATTAGGTTTTTTTGATATAATGAAGTTTAAGCTCTAAATATATTGTATTTTCCTTAGTTAACAAATTCCCCACGCAATTACACGCATTACTTTCAATTTTCAAAACAAATTTTTTTTCGAAAGCGAACGATAGTGTCGTCAGCATGCTGCTCTGTACTCTCAAAAACAAACAAGCTACCCTGAATAAGCCAATCATATCCCTTGTTAGAATGGTTCAAATAACCTGATTGGTTAAACAAGACTAAAGCTGTCAAAAATGTCAAAGCATCAGAGTCCACAATCATCAATAGTTCACAAACTGAGATAGTTCAGCAGGTCGAATATATATGTAATATTTGAATGATCGGCAGAGTGCTTCTTCATGGTGGCAATGTTGAATCCTTAATTCTACCTTTTAAAAACGCCGTTGCACCAAAATGTAAGAAAAAGACGCTGTAACAAATGGTGATGGTTTTTTTTCCAATCATCTCACCGTTTTTGTTTCTTTGATTTTTTCACCAAGGGACCAGAGGGAAATTTAAAAAGCAAAGTTGTAACAAACAAAAGTTGGAAAAAGTAGCTGGCGCCCAAATAGATAGGAATGGAGTCGAATTCAAAATTTGCCGAAATCAGAGACGTCACAGAGAAAGGAATGATACAGCGGCCGAATGAAACGAGAAGTTGCAAAGAAGATAGAGTGGGAAATAAGAATGAGAAATGAATTTGGAAATTGATCGGGAATTGCAAATGGGAATAATGTACAAGAACAATGTGAATAATAGACAAATTGAGCAAGGCGTGATGAACTTTCATGTTTAAAATTTGTCAAATGCCACACTTTTCGTCAGCAGATAGCTGTAAGAACTCACGTGACTCGTGAGACGGCTTCATCGAAACTCGAAGTGATGTGAGCTTAGTCACTCGTAGCTAGAGCAGGAAGGTTCACGCTTTTTATGTGAAACGTGAAAAGGCAAACTTCACGTTTGCAGTTTCAAGCAAACATGGTGCTACGTCTCTCTAACATTAATACGTTAATCGTAGAAGGAGGGCACAAGTTATCAGCATAAAAGATCATATGAAAAAACAGACAAACAAGCATTTAATTCCATTTTAATGCCTAATTGATTATATATTCTTTAAAATCAAGTCATAGAGCAAACGGCCCTGATAACACAGCTAGTTCATTCTGTTTGTTCGCAGTTAAAAAAATTGCCTTTAAATACCTCATTTGCATGATTAAGTTAAAACTTTAATTCAGAAGTTTTCACTTTCAAAATTGCATTTTTAAGTTTCTTTTTTTTTAATTAGAGATCTGAATTAACTTTATTCTACATTCCTATGGTGCTAAATAGGGGGCCTCTATCAAATGTCTCAGCGCTATGATTGGTCAATTCAGTGTAGGGCATGCGCACATACTAAATTGAAAAGTTTGTTTGAATTAAAATCTTCTCCCTCTATTTGAACCAACAGACGTAATAAATATATTACTAACTTTGTTTTCTCGGTCTGTACAGTTACAGTCAAACCTCTACAAACGGCCACTTCTCTTCAACATCTACCTCTCTACAACGGCTACCTGTCCACAACGGCCACTTTCCTTTTGGTTCCGATGGCCTGTCCATACATTCATCCCTGCCTCCCCATGACGGTCACTTCTCGGTCTATTTTCTTCTGTCCTCAAGGTGACCGTTGTAGAGAGGTTTAAAATTCATTGCTATATGAATTGATTCTGAAAAACCTCAATGGGAGTGATCAAGGAGAAGTATTGTATTGTAACTTACAGTACGGACCAAGAACTGGGTTAGTACATGTAACTGAGATATTTTGTAGCTACAGGCTACTTCTTCTCCTACATATTTTTTATAGACCAAAGTTTCTTTATGTAACCTTTTATTATCATTTCATTTCTTTGCTTTTCATATCATTTTTTAAACTCGATTCTTTTTTCCTGCATACTGGTTTAGCTTAAGAAATTAATTTAATACCATTAAATCTAAACGTCATTTATGTCAAGCCCTGTTATCATCAAACAGTAAGATGGTTAAAAGTAGCTGGAAACACATAATAAAGCTAGTGACAGCAACATATTACAACTGTTTTAAAAAGGCTTGCTTCTTTGCAGATGGTCTCAATAGGGTGATAGCTTTAACAGCTAAAGGTTAAAATTTGGATCATTTTACGGCTAACGGTTTACTTCTTTTCTGTATAATAGAAAAAGATTTTTTTTACGGTAAACTTATTTTACGACTCCCAGTTAAAATTGTTCAGTTTTTAAGCTTAGCGACTTTAAGTTTTTGGTCGTTCTACACGGCTAACGGTTAACCCCATTGGGATCCTCTTCGTTCTAAATATTTTGCTTTATACTTCACAAGACTCGAGTAACTATTTTACTGATAATTTGCATCAGCTTTAAGGCATATTTGTTGGCCCTTAAATTTATAAACTCATTGTTCCCCTGATCCATTAAGGAACTTTTAATGTAACAATGACGAACAATCAATGGAACTCTAATAAACATGAAGGAAAAAATGCTCAGGTCCTACAGATTAAATTAAGACCTTTCTGTTTGATTCTTCTTAAATATTCTCAGTTGTATTCACTCACTCTCTTAGTAAAGTTCACCACTTCATTTGACTCTATAAATGTCAAGTAATAATAATAATAATGATAAAATAATAATAATAATAATATGATAATATTAATAAAATAATAAACTTTGCAATAACCGTTGTTCATGACATTTCATGTCTCTAAACGGTGTAATCACCAAAGTGATAGAACTAAATCATATTTGCTTATCTACTAGCTGATTTAGTGACTTTTATCTGCTCTCTTAACGACATTATGAATGTAAAAAAAATATTTAAAAATATGAAAGAACTGTGCAACCAGTCGTCGTCTTTGACTTTTCAAGGTTTCGAGTAGTAAGCGAGGCCGCATGCCCAGAAATATATTACAAGGCTGCATGACAGTCCAACAATTGGTGTATACCACGCTAAAAAATAGGAAAGACAGTTTAAAATCTACGATTAACAGAAACGAAATGAAAGAAAGTTGGAACATGTAGAATCCTAAATGGGACATCCATGCATGCGTTGCAAACTCAGCAGGGCGAGGAGGCAAAACAAAACTTTGGACGCTCTTTGATCAGCACGAAGCTTTTCTCAGTTCGTCAACGACAATTAATTCAACTTCTGAACATGTCAAAAAATGGTTGTGCAATATCTAGGACCAAAATCATAGAGACACGGACACTAAAATCGTGCTTCTCAAGAATGCATTGTTTTAGTTGAAAATCTCATTTACGGGCAACAAATGTTTATGACTATAACATACCCATTTCCCCTCCATTTCCCACATTTTCATCTTCATCACTTTCGTCCTTCCAGTTGTCTTGACAGCGTTGAATATTAATCAGCGGTAGTAGAACAGGTTTGGATGGCAGGCTCATTGTACGCTTGGAACGTTGCTTGAACTGCATCATGGGCTGGCTTTGTGGTTTGAGGGAATGTGACCGTATATTACGCGCATGAGCAGATGGACGTAACATGTCGGCTTCTGAAGACATGTTACGCGTGTGATATAAAGATTCACACTAAAACAAAAAATCAGCGAAACCAAAAATATTCAAAAAAAATCTCCATTGGCCTACTAGAGCACCAAGATGTATTTCTTAAATTGAATTTATAGTAAATTGTATCTTGAACATTTTTGCCTGCCACTAACAATGTTATCAGTGCAGTCGTGACATAATGAGTAGTTTTCTAACCATTTTTCACTGCATTACCGCAGTAGGGTAGGACTAGAACGGAACATATGCGAACCATGTGAGTAGAGTAGTCCACCCAATAAATCCCACCCCAGGCATCCCACCCCTGGCATCCC